CGCTCACTGTTTTTGGCATTGAGTACCGCAATAGAGAGCGCGCCCGCAGCCCTTACACTGGCGGAGTCCCTTTCCGCCTTTGAAAACCTGGGCGCAGTGATGACAGAAAGCCTTCGCCCCCGGCCAAACTTTGAGGGGCGACCTCAGCGCATGTATCTGCGCGGGCGAAAGAGCCTCGACGCGCTCAGCGCTAATGTCGCCCTCCCAGTCGTTCACGAGCGAACCCGCGTACAACGACTGCACATGGACGCCGTGGAAGGGATAGGTAATGCCCTCAGCTTGACCGAGAACCGTGATGGCCCTCACGTTGGGCGGCGCGACGGCCACGCGATCAGGAGCGAGCTCTTGGTAAACGAGCGCAAGGTACTTGGCGCCGGCCTCACGACGCATGCCTCCCAAAAAGAGACGTTCAGGCAGCCCGGTGGCGCTACGAAGGTTGAATAGAAGCCGTGGAAAATGTGCGGGCTGGACATACTTTTGCGCTAGGACCCCGGCAAAAAGCTGTTGGGACACGAATTGGATCCCCGTCAAGCGAACGAGGGGGAAGAACGCCTCGCGCTGGCTTGTGAAGATAGACGTGACGGCCCTGTCTATGGGTTTCATGTACTCCCTGTATGCGTCGAGGACGTCTTGCGCCGTCTCCAGGTCGCCGTGCTCTTCGTAGACGGCATCGTCGCGGGTAAATACAAGCTGGATGACGACAGTCATAGCCGAGAACCAGAGGGACCAAGTCTGGGCGCTAACAGTTAGTCGTGCGGCTAGGGAACGGGTGGATGGAACTGACGTCGGGTTTTCCGTCGCAGAGGAGACTTATGAGCCAAAGGAGGCGGAGCGTCGACGTCTTGAAGCGAATCGCAGAGGCGTAAACGTCCGCAGGAGGCATAGGTCCGTCCCTGTGAGCGTCGATGAAATAGAGTGGTTGCAGGGCGACGTCGATGTCGTCTACTGCGACAAGCCGGCGCGGAGCGTCGGCGCACACGCTCCGAAGACGCTCTAACACGTCGATGACGACGGGGATGGCGGGGCTCCAGCCAACCATATAGGAGGACGTAGGTGGTAGTTGGAGAATGTATAGAGCAGGCTGAAGTGACGAGGCACTGGAGATTTGGGAACCAAGCTCACTTCCTTAAATACAGTTCCAGCAGGTCGGAACAGCCCGAACGTCTGAAAGGTTGGGTGGAAAGTCATCAGCTAAGTCACGCAACGAAGACAACGCTGGGAAACAAGCCCCGAAGCAACATCATGGAGCCCACCGGGGTAGCTGGAACGATCGGGCGAGAAGTGCGGCCGTCGTGCGCCTCGGCTAGATCTGCAGGGGACGGGAATTTGGCCAGCAGCCGGCGGCCAGAGGCTGCTCAAGCAATCCACGGGCGTACGATGGTATGTCGAGCTACCGCATTTGGACGGGTAGATCATGCGTAGCTCGACCCTTCTTTCGACGGCGTGGAGGCCATAAGCGCCCGTATTCAACGGGTTTATTGTATTCCGGAAGCCCGCGCGCGGCTCTACCTCTGCACCCCACTACGCGACCACCGCCCAAAACGATGCTCACCTCTTCTCCCACCTACAACTCCCAGCCTCGTCTCTTTCAACATCCGAAAGGCTACTCTGGCCCCCCTCTTTGTCGCGGGCGAATGACGCGAGAAACCGGCTGCCTGGGCGTAGGTGTAGGACGTAGAGCACAATATCATTCAACGTACGTACCTCCGATGCCGCAGTACGGTGCGACGTTCTCAAAGTAGTTCATAGGCCATCGAGCGAGCCGGTGTAAATCCTACGTGTCGCGCGCGCGTTGGGAGGGTACATGAGCTGCGTTGAATCACTCGCTCGCTGAGTGATTGTGCGTCGGTCTGTACGTGTACGTGCGGGTTCAGTTCCTAGACGAAGTCTTGAAGTAATCTCATGTAAGCCGCAGGTATACGCCCGCAGCGTTCTGCGCTTCACCGATGTCGATACGGAGGTCGATCGCAAGTCCTCAATCCTTGCGGATGAGCCGCGGCGCGTGACGTTGATCTCGCCATGAGCCGGTGTTTGTCATTATGGACATCATGGTCGCGCACGCGGTTGCCCTACATACTGCTCGTTAAACCACCGCGGGAGCTCGCGCCTGCTCAGCCCGGCGGACTTGATGCCCGCGCGTAACATCTACGACTTGAAGCCTGATGCTTGATGGCGGTCCCATCGCGACTCAACATACGGCACCACTTCTTCCCAACCGCCATGACCCGTTACCCTGACTTGTCGAGATCGTCGTGAGCGCTATTCATTTGTCGAGTCTGGCTTGCGCCACTGAAAGGGTCCTGCAATCCTAGCATACAAGCCGCGCGCCGCTACTACCTCAAGCGCGATCTTCTACTAGGTTCTGTAAGCATGCAGAAGCCGAAGGCTGGAAAGGGGGGCCGCAAGACTGGACGTACCGGGTATGCGCGCCGTCAGTTACGCAAGAAGTTGTTGGCTTCCGGGGACATCTGGTGCGCCAACGACGCACCCCTCGTCCTGCGTTTATTGACCATTTCTTCAGCGAATATGACCTCAAGTTGGTGATGCGCCGCACCACCCTTGATAGCATTCGCACACCCGCTATCACAGCCAACGAGTATCGGATATGGGACGACTATTGCATCAAACACAAGGAGTGGGGCACGGACAGGTACAAGTCGTTCTTGTTCGAGGAGAAAGAGCGCCTAGAGTTGGAAGCTTGCGAGCTCCTTACTCAACCCCGTGCGTCTACGGGTTCAGCGGACGAGGAGGGGCCCGAGCACGAGCAGGGCATCCGTTCTTTCCACGCGCTGCGCAGGCTGGTGGCAATCGTGCTGCAAGAACGCGACATGCTCGACATGACCTGCGAGCAGCTCCAGGGAATAGGATACGACGGCACCTTCATCGCGCTCGGTCGGTGGTAAGCGCGCAAAGCTCTCTCGCTCCTCTCATTCAGCAGTACTGACTTGATTTCGTCATAGCATCGTCAAATCAGCGTTTCGCGCAGAGGCAGGCTGGTATACCGAGAAAGAGCTTTTGAGGTATCGAGGGTTGGCGCCGATAGATACGGACTCCGAGTTTGACTCAGACACGGGCTCGTCTGAGGCGTAACTATACTGTGCAGCTTCCGGTAAGCCGCCGCCCGCTTACTGGCGTTAGAAGGGACGCCGCTGACAACGTTGGCTTCAGTATCTACAAGAAGTCGGTGCTTCAACTCGTCATTGCGACCACCATATCAAGAGGATACGTATTCCAGATGGAGATGACGGTACGCGCCAAGGCGTTGGGGTGCGCCGTCGGCGAGGCGCCCGTCACCTTTGTCGACCGTATCTTCGGAGAGAGCAAGTTGGGGGCGGACTAGATTGTGCAGTACGGAAGGGCGTCTGGACCCTGTTCACTAGTGTTTGAAGTAATGTAGCGCTGTACAATGGATCTCGTTCTCGCGGAAAGCACCATGCCCGACCCTATTGGGTGGCAATACGTCCTAGCATCGCGACCGCGTCCATCAGCTGACCGCGTCGACCGCTCGACGCGTCTTTCGCGTCAACGTCTTGTGCTGGCTTTTCACCGTGGCGTCCACCATGCCGAGTTCATCGTTAGTCCGCGCCGCCATGTCTGTAGCCGGCGCCGCTATTGGAGGAGGCGTCGCTACTGTACTCGGCCGTAAGAAGGCGCAAGAAGCCGCGCCGCTGGGTGTACCGGCGTACGCTCCACCTCAAGACGCCCTCAAATACACCTGCAGTTTCACTTGGCTCTTCTGGGGCGCCCGTGCTTGCTGCTGGGCTTACCACCGTGCCTGTGCTCAAGTACGGGAATCTTGGACCCATCTCGGACCAGTTCACGCGTCAAGCGTACGTTGCGGCGTCCGACAGACGTCTGCGCCACCCCGCTTAGGTGCGCCGAACCATACTGCGAGTCGCTGCTATTTCTGACCGTATATGCTCATTAGACAGCGGAACACTTGACACTTGCGTCTTTGGGAAAGTCACCACTCAACCCTATACCTGGTGACGAGACGGGCGACAGGTAGAAGTCGCAGTTCATGGAGGACGAAGCTATACCTTTACCGTTCCGTGCACGGTTGCAGGGTTACTTCCGTAGCGGATATGACCGCGGACATGCGTGCGTATCTACTCTCATTTGGCAATCACTTCCTGTACTGAGTCTGCATGTAGGGTGCCCGCCGCGGACGCGGAGAATTCGCAATCGGCGATGGACGAGACGTTCCTTCTGTCGAACATTGCACCACAAGTCGGCGCAGGGCCCAACCGTTATTGTACGTTGCGCATCCATCTTCCTCTAACATAAGCGTACTGATCATGATGTTCTGCCTAGATTGGGCATATGTCGGAAGGCTGGTGCCGCCGTCTGACCGGCAACTTCTCCGACGTCTCCGTGTTCGCGGTCCCATTACGCCTTCCCCACCGTGACCCCGACGGAAAGAACAGAGTCGTACGTGTCTTCTATCTCTCCGTTCGGGGTCAGATAATCAATGTGCTCGCTAGACGTACGAAGTCATCGGCAGCCCGCCGAACATCAGCGCACCGACACACTTCGCGAAGGTCGTTCTCCCCTCGCAACCGTCCTCGCCGTCTACACCACACCTCCAGGAGATCTCAACGGGCGCATTTGTATTGCCCAAGTCTCGAAGTCCCATGCTGGGCGGCGGCTGGGAACAGCTCGCGCCAGCGCAATGTGCCAGGAGCATTTCGGCGCAGATAACGTCGGTCAGGGTTATCCCAAGCCCCCTCCCAATCGCTCTCCTTGGCACCGGCGATGAGGGTGAGACAATTGCGAGATGCGAGCTTCGCAACGACGACCTTCACGGCGTCGCCGCGATCAAGGCTTAAAAGGCCCATCACGTCCTCGGGATCGTCAGCGGAAACGCGTTGAAGCTTGGTTCCGTCGTAGCGCTGCAACTCGGCGAACATCCTCAAGATCTGGGTCCGCGCTTTCGCATCTCGGGACGACGGGGACGTATGGATCAAGAGCTGGAGGAGCGTGGTCCGGAAACTTTATAGCGATTTCGCGGTTACTCGCTCTCCATGATTCCTGTACATCGTAGCTGTGTTGGCGGACTGATTTACGCAGTCTCACACTGGAGACTCTAATACTCGACTCCGCTACCACAGCGCGCACCCGTGCGTCTCCCTATGACGTGCGACGCGATGATGCAGTCCTACGACGGCCGTATTCCATGAAGTGCGAAAACGTGAATTGCGTCGACGCGTTCCCAGGTTCGATCCCGAGAGCCCGACGAGTAACGGTTTGAACCGCATCCATGCACAGATGACTTAGAACGTCCAAGAGGGGGCTTCACGTAAATGATCTTCATAAGGTGTGGTACCTTAAGGCTAATCAGGTATAATAACGCATGGTAGACGGTGGTAGACGGAATGAGCAGTCCTTTGACGCCGCCTACGGAGGACTAACGACATAAAACTGTGAAAAGTGAAACGAAAGTAGGAAGAGATAAGACGGATGCGACTGAAAGAGGATAGGAGAAAGAAAGAGAAGGAGAGCAGGAAAGGAAGTAGGCGTAGCGGATGCCCAGGCCGATCGCGGAGCATAACGCAGACACCGCATACGGTGTCGCGAGTCGCAAACAAAATAGAAGCGCCGCCTCGAATCCAGTAGAGAAAGGAGCCGTGTCTACCGGCGCACATCACGAGCTTCAACGTTGGACTAGACCTGGAGGTCTGGCCGAGCGTCAGTAAGATCGTCTATGCGTAGACTGCAACAGTCGCATACCTTCAAAGTTCACTGCATAGTGACACAGAGGTGTTAGATCGGAGGGCAAGGGCAGTCCACCGCGATCATCAGCAACGACCACATGCCCGCACCTCGCCGGGACCGCCATGCCGGTCATGGCGTCCGGACTGGTCCAAAACGGCGTGCCGCCCTCGCGGTCGCTGTCCCGATAGACTAAGATATGCACGAGGTCGTCGGTTTTCACGCCCAAGGCATCCCAGAAAGTGTTGTAATCGTCGAGCGTTACCGTGTAGTCCGGGTCGTAGTACTTGATCGTGCAGGTAGAAGGAGAAGAGTATCCCTGGAGAACGGTAAGTCAAATGAAACGAGAGAACGTTGAGGGGTGATGATATCAACGCACTTGGATGTACGCGTGGATGTAGAATACCAACGGTTCGACCAACTCAACGCTGGGTGAGCGAGGAAGAGGCTCCATGACCTCAACGCTGGGAGAGCGAGCAACGCTGGGCAGGCGAGGGATGCTGGGGGAGCGAGGACGGGCAACGGGGGTGGTGCGCCTGAGAATCAAGGGCACGGCGGGGCGGTAGATAGTCCTCGGGTCGTACGCGTCAATGCCCGGGCGGCGGTGGCGGCGACGGTTGCGTTTGGAGTATATCCCGGAAGCCGCGGCATCCTTCACCGCAGCATCCGAAGCCCTCTTGATGTCGCGCAGAAAGCTCAAGTCGGCGTTGTCGAGCGGCGCGGAAACGTATTCGAACAGCGACCCGCCGCCCTGTATGTCGCCGGGGTGCTCGTGGCGGCACTGACACATCTCTGAATCAGCAGGGCCGCTACAACGGGAAAGGATGAAAGGACAACTGACCACAATGTAATAGCGACCTCTGTTGCTGTTGTCGGGCTTGTATTGTAGCTCGGGGCCGCTAAGCGAATGAGAGTGCCGCTCGCATCGGCCGCGACGGTAATACACCCGCTCCCAATCGACGGGCTTAGACAGAGAAGTGACCTCCTGGCGAAAGTTACAGAGGGAGTCTGCGCGCAACGCCTTCAAGGTCGGAGGGAGGAGCAGGCTCATGTTGACGGTGTTGGGGAATCGACTTGCTCGCAAGAGCCTTATACGCCGGTTGTGTTGCCGTGCGGATTCGAACGCTGCTCAATTTATGAGTTATATATGACGCCGCCGGGCTCGGTAGGCCCAAAGGGGGGAAAGGAAATATTCTTCTTTAATTCGTTGATATCTTGAAGAATTAGTCACATCTGAAAGCCAGACCGCGCAACCTCTCGCTGAAACAGAAGCCGGTCTCCGTGAGAAGCACTCCCGGGTGACCAGCGATCTGGGCCAGGCGTAGCAAACGTACAACATCTGGCTTGGAGATCACGTCCGGATGCAGTGCTGCCCTACACAGATACGTACGAGGTTTTGTTCGGGGCCAGTAACGTTGCCGTTAGCTGTCCGAGCACGGCTTGGACATGAGCGCATTTGATGCGCTAAAGAAGCTATGGAGAGAACCTTACAACTTCACACCCCAAGTATCCGGTAGGCTGCATAACACATACGACGTCCAAAAGATCCCAGAGGCCAGCGGGGGGCTCGCACACATGATTCGACGTAGTTTGACCGACACTAATGGGCGGAGGGGCGGGCAAGCTAGTTACAAGGGTGCGGATCGCGTAGCCGAGCGTTGGGGTTGAAGAGAAGAAGCCTGGCGATGGCACGGTAGAGACCTTGTCGTCCGACAAGGTTCCCACTAGTGCAATGATGCGCCTTCCGATCGCGGGTACTTCTGCCCGCACACGCAGTTTCGGCGCCAACGGCGTATCGTCCCTGCATCACGATTTCGAGCCCTATACATCATTAAGCCGGGTGTGCGGAAGCGGGGGGCTTGCATAGACAACCCACCTGAGGTTGTACGGTGATATTGTGTGGAGAGGAGGCCAGGATAGAGGGGGGGGGAGAGAAAGTAGCCATCGTTGCGGCCGGACAGAAGCTGGCCAGCTCGTAGTCCGTGGAGATCGCATGATACGACGAGTTCGGCGTTAGCCCGCTGATGCGCAGCTTGATACGAATCGCATTCTTCCGCACGCGGCGCGCCGGTGTGGCAGAGAAGCTGTATGAAGTCTATATCAATTGATACGCATAACTTCAGAGGCATACGAGTTCACCAAGAAAGGGGGGGCTTACACATACAACCAGCCATGATTGAATCGGGCTACAAAGCTCAGAAGCTAGTCGGGGAGGGGGTGACTTGGCGAGACCTGGGTAAGAACCCCGGGCGCGAAGGTGTCAGCGAATACACGATTTGATTGAGTTGCTGTCATACGTACGCGAAGCGCCGACGACAACGAGGCTGCGCGCAGCTCATGTGTGTGTCTCCTATACAACGGCGTATTGAATTGAAGGCGCAGCATGTCATTCAGAAGGGGGCGATGCGATCGAGGAAAGGGCCTGTATAAGCTGGCGCACATCTGTGCTAGCTATTGTTGAGAAGAAGACGTACAGATCCATCTACCGCACTGATGCAAGAGACTGTGGTGTTTCAACCGCCCGGATGATTCCGCCGTTTAGAAAGCAGCTTCCGTTGAGCTGATGGAGAGCCGAATGCTGGGTGCGCGACGCACAATCGCCAAGAAGCTTTCCTAGCCGTCGAAGATCATTCAGCAAGACTGACTTCGCGACAGAGCGAATCGCTACGTACGTGTACAAGTGCTGCGTTGGATCGATGCAGCGTAGATGAGTGTTGAGGCCAAGGGGCGGACAAGCGCGGGTCCCGCCACGATGCAGCTTCATCTAAGACTTGGTTGCGCCAGTTCCCATCCCCGCGAAGTTCAGTAAAGTCAGCATACCGGCGGGGCTGGTCTCGCACCTTCTTCCTTTCCGCACCCGTCTATCTCACCCCCTCGCGCCCTCCGCTTGACTTCCCGCCCGTCTTTTCTACACCAAACGATGGCCCGCAATGAGAAAAAACGCGCCCACGACGACCCCGTCGACGACGCCGACAGTCGCTCCAAGAAAAGGACAGCAAAGGACAACGCCGAGCCGACCAGGATGGGCCGCCCACGAAACGTCGGAAACGAGCAATTTGACGTCATCATGGACGGGTTTGGCGACTATCTCATAGAGAAAAAGAAGAAAGACAGGAAACAGCCGCATAACATCACTGGAGTCTTCAACGACAAGACGTTCGGGTTCATCGCGACGTTTGGGTGGGACAATCCGCTTCGCAAGAGGTCAACAGTCGCCGCACCAGCGAGCCAGGATGCCATCAACGCTGCGAAAGAGGCGGCGCAGGAGTCGGCTCGAATCGTTGCCGATCCCACCGGAACAAGCGAGGAGTCGTTGACAGAACATAAGAGGAGGGACCAGATCGTGACTAGTGTGCGGAACGTAAGTTCCTTATGAAAGGCCTGGCAATCGTAGGGCGTCGGCTTACTCGAAGCAGGAGATCAGCAAGATCTACCAAAGGACCCTGCGGCAAGGCAACGATGCGCCCAAGGCATCCTTGGATATACCGAAACTCATCAAGGCCGTCATGTCCAAGCCGTCGCTACGACAGCTTTACATGGTATGGGCCAAGATGCAGCCACGACCAGAACTAGAGGCGGAGGTGGACCGCCGGCACGCTGCCGCTGTGGAGGAGAAGGGCGAAGACGCGATGTCACGTGGAGCCATGTGGAACGTCGTTGCGGCAGAATGGTACAACGCGTGCAGCGAAGAGGAGAAAGTCGCAACGCGTCAGGAGGCCCAGAAGTTCTTGGAGGAAGAGCAGAAGAAGTGGGAGGATCAATCAGCATCCACGCCTTCGACGCCTGAAGAGGCGCATGAGTTAGTGAAACGACTCTGTTCATCGAAGCGGCTTCTCATTCACGCGCCTTCAGGTTCCTGGAGGGCTCACAGGATTTCTTGAAAGCCATGATGAAGTTCTTCGCCAATCGCGTGTCCGGTATCGCGGTTATGTTCTTGGCAAGCCCGAACGACGTTAGTATGTAAGTGCGGACTAGCGCGGATTGCGTGCGTACGTTTACTTGTTGTCAGGTCGGAAGCCGTATGCGATATACCGGGCCAGCCGAACCTGCTTTACAGCCAGGTTGCACAGGAGGAGACGACGTTGTGGCTTATGGGCCACCGCATCAAAGCCCAAGCTCGCAAGATGAACGGTATGTTCTTCGCCTGATAGGTTCTGAGTCGCGCTGACGCCCAGTAGAGTCCAAATGGGATTTGCGAGACGAGGATGAGCGCGCGACGCCCGACGTCGAAGAAGTGTCCCCCTTCAGTGAGAGTTGCATAGATCCCACGCTGAGGCAGGCGGCGCAGACATCTCCGACGACTACAGGCCTGAAGACCGCTGCAGCTGGCGAAGGACTTGCCACCACGTCGACACGCGGCGCTCCCGTCAGCCATGTCCAGGACGGTACTGAGCGAGTACGTAGTGCTTGAATGCTGTGGAGAGTTATTCACGTGTCTTGACAGGGCGTGGCTGCGCGCTCAGAGGACGCGGGGGTGACATCCCTGCAGGTGAGCGCTTCGCGACGCGCGCCAGATCGTACGCTCACGCTTTTGTCGTATGCATAGCAGGATCAAGAAATACGTGCTCGCGCTGTTGCGGTGAGTCGCCTTTCGGCCATCTTCGTGCGTGCAGATGGTGATAGCCGCTGCAGGCAGCAGCTGCCTCGGCGAAGCTACAGGAAGCGCAGGCCAAAGCGTTGGCTGCAAAGGCATTGGCCGACGCTGCAAACGCAGAGGTCGAAGCAGTGAAAGCCGCTGCGCTTGCTTTGGAAAGCGCTATCGGCGGACCGCGCTCGATTGACAGGCCCGCGCAGGTCGAGCTCATGCAGACGACAGGCTTTTCCCCCGCTCCAGCACAAGACCGCGCCCAGGTTGTAGTCGCAAGTGGAGCCGAAGTCGGAGTTGAAAACGGCGAAGCTATCGCGCTCGACGTAATAACAGCCGTCGACGAACCGAGGCCTGCTGGGGGTCCTGCGTCAATGGCGGTTGACCACCCAGAGGAGGCGTCTGGTGTAGGAGGCGTTGGTCCTGCCTCTAGCATTGTTCCCGTTATAGCGTTTGAGGTGTTTGCGTCGTTGAAGGATCTAGATTCAGCAGAGGTAAGCAGAGGTCTTCCGCGAAGAGAGCTGGGCCTAACGATGCACGTAGTCTAGGTACACGGCTGTGTACAACGAGACGCAGCTTGCGCTTGTACCGAAGAAACCTTGGTGGTCGGAGACTAGTAACGAAGCGTTCTTCAAAGCGCTGCCTTCGAAGCTGAGGCGTGGCGGGGTTGACGTTGCTGTCGGATGCGAATTGAGTGCCGCCTACTTTGCCCTGGAGCAAAGCGCTGCAGTGAGCCGACCGTTTCCTAGGTACAGATGAGAACCTAATGTTTGTTCAGGAGGAGCGTGCGCTAGACTTGTTCACCAATAGGCCTCTGAATGTTGAAGTCCCAGAGTACTTGGCTAAGTTTGGGGACAAGGGGAGAGAGTGGCATGCGCGATGGCATCAGAGAGCGGAGCCTGGTACGACGAGGAAGCGGACTGCTCTCGACTGGGACATACACGTTACGTTCCCTCGCCTTTGGGTTGCGCTGCAGCCGAGCGCTCGATTGAACGAGTACGGTAATATAGCCGTGCCGGCGCAAGCGTCCATGGTCTGGTCTCCTGATGTGGCTGCCGGGAAGGACGGCGTGCGTGCTCTTGTTGCCACCGTCTTGAACTGGGGGTCCAATGCGAAGACCGAGCCGAGCGAAGTGACGCAGTGGCGGTACATCGCAGCAGACATGGCGCAAGTACTGCGTGTATTGGCTGAACAGGCGGGTCAGTCTCAGACGACAGAGGAATCAGTGAAGCGTGTCAAGTGCGTACATCTAGCTCGAACCCTGTTACTCTCTGTCTCATCGTTTCGTTATAGGAAGGTACCCTTGAAACTTCGCAAGGGCGATGGGGCTGCGTAGACTCTCTCCCGTTCTGAATGTCGTAGACGACCGTTTCAACGTATAAAGAAGAGTTTGGGCCCAAGTTGATTCCGCGCGCGCTGCGTGGGAGCGCAAGACGCAGTAAGCTGCACTGTTGCGTGACGATGAAGTTGGTTGCAACCTACATGTCTCTGCCTGTATCTCCTTCCACAACCACCGACCCCTCTGCTCTACCACTTCTAGCGGCTTGGGATGGTCCGGGCTTCTCACCTTGTGCGTTCATGCCTCTACCGCCATATGCGGAATTATGGCGTTTAATGCGTCAGCTACGAGAGCTGCGATTACAAACGTCGCAACAAGTGGTGCGTTGTGCCATAGGCGTCCTCGAGTGAACATAGGTCCTGATATGCGGTCAGCTACCTGTGGCTCATCGTCGTACAGCATCGCTTGAAGGTGACCGCCCTTACCCTTACGGTCTCTAGGGAATTCGTCGCGGGTGCATGACTAACGCCTCATTCACGCCAGGCTCCCGGCCTTCTACGCCGATTAGACGCTGAACTGTCGATACCCTGGTGGCCTGAGGACATCGTATCTGTCCGGCGTATCACGCGTCGACAGCCATCCGAAAGGAGAAGCTAGAGCGTCGCAACTTTGGAGAGGACACTAGTAGTCAGAAACATGTCGGCAAATACCCACTACCAGCTTTAGAACCGCACCTCGTTTGGACAATTCAACGTTGTATCTTGAATCAGAGTTGAGGTGGATATTGGCCGGGGCTCTTGAGCCGGCCTTTCGCCGCGTTCTCAGTTTGCGACGAGAGCCCACGATTGGGCCGTCAGTTACAGGACCGGCGATAGCGCTGGCTGTAGTAAGAACACGCTGTTGATGACCCGCAGCAATTGCGCGCCGCCGTCTCAGCGCAGACATACCCAGAGCTACGCTTACGGATTGCTCCTTATTGCTCTCATTCTGCTTGAACTGAAGAAGTTACAGGCCTAGCACCTCGGAGCTGAGATCCTCACGTCCGACTGGATCTGACTACGAAGGCGTTGATGCCGCGTCGCTTCGCGGCTTGGTTGCCCCTTCCACGATCTCCCACGTCGTCTTGCTCACTCGAACACCCATACATGTGAGAATCGCAACCAGATATTATACCCCATACCTGACTTTTCGACTTAGGAATCAAACCCGCGACCCGAATAGGTTCTGGGACTGGGATGGTTGGGAGGATGCTGGCATCGAGCTTGATTGGTGGGGCGGACGCCCAGATGATCCCGCAAACGCCGCCGGATGGGGAGAGTGGGCACTTCTCGCTCACCACGGTGGCTGGGGAGACGGTAACAACGACGGCGGATGGGGAAATGGAAACGAGAACGGAGGTTGGGGAGGCGGCAACAACGTTGCGTGGGGAGGCGGCAACAACGTTGCGTGGGGAAACGACAACAACAACAACGGATGGGGAAACGTCGACGACAACGCTGGGTTGGACGGCTTGCAGGAGAACGCTCAAGCGGCAGGACAGATAGCCGCTGGCGAGATGGAACCCGACGCGGAAGACGGCGCGAACGTCGAGCTCCCACCTGTATCAATGAGTGAGCGTGGACAACCTCTCTTAGCTGCGACTCATACTGAACCGCCGTCAGCTCTCAATCAACCGGAGGCGGCTGGGTCGCTCCATTTTGACATGGCGGTCTACATCCTCAAGTCGTTTTTGCCGCCGTTAGACGAGCTGCCTCTCACGATCCTGGGGACGCTGCTCAGCGCGGGATGCTTTGTCACGATAACGTCGGCTATGGCGGCGTCGCGCATCTGGTATAGCGCAGCCATGATGACATGCGCGCTGTGGGGCGGGCTTATGGTCTTGGCAAGGTCTGAACGGCAGTGGGTCGCGCTGAATGCGCTGGCTCGCGATGCGCCGAGACGACTCTTGTACACCGATCGCCTACCCGACGCGCTGCTAGATTCCGTATTGCATCTAGCACATGCTGTATACGCTCCCGCACTCTCTACGTGGCGACATTGGGGGCTCGTGCTGCAAGGCCTTACGATGCCATACGTAGAAGCCCTTCTACTTGGCCCCAATGAAGACTCGAAACCCCCCGGTCGGTTACCGAGTCCCGACCAGCCCTTGTCCGCCCCACGCCTCAGGAAACTTCGCCTGTCGTCGCCTGCCGTCGTCCTGGCACAGCGGCTTCAGTCGTTTGTGGCATTAAACTTCGCCCCCGACCAGATCGTCGTCGCCATCAGGGAAATGCCACACCTTATTCACCTCGAAATACGCCGCGTCATCTCAGACGACGCCATAGACTGGACTGCACTCCTCTCAGAGGGGACGTGGAGCATGTTGCAGCATCTCTGCATCGTATGCGACGCGCACCAGAATCAGGCGTTGGCCTACCGTACGACTCCCATATCCACGCCCCGCTTGCGCGGGATGTACGCGACCAGCGCCGTGCTGGCGAACGCTCCTATGCTGGAGGATCTCCACGCCGTTCGTGTGCGCTACGTGGATTACGCGCGTATGCTGCAACACGCGCCTTCAGTCGTGTCCGCCACATTACGCGGTTCCACTGGCGTGCGTCTGCCGACCCTCTACTCCAACGTTTGGCCCACGGCTAAGGTGGTTCTGGGCGCATTGGAGAGCTTCAGAATCTACGGCGACGTATGCGATTATAGGGGCGACGTCTTCTCGGCCATCTCCGTCCCAAACGCGCGCGAGATACGCTTGGTATGCGACATGTCGGCGCCTCCAAACCATCAGGCAGCGGTAGAGGTCGGCGCGCTTTTGCGCATGGTTCTACGCCTGAATTCGGACGTTCCTGAGTTGATGAGGGCGTTGCAGCACGCTAAGCGAGGTCTCAGGTTGTCTGGCCACTCGGACCTGTCATCATCCGTGGAACACCTGATCCGCGGGTTTCTTCAGTCGTCGCCTGCAGAGAGAAGGAGCGGAATTCAAGACTTAGCGGACCAAGTCAAACGGCGTGTGGACAACCCCGTTACGTCTCATGCTGAAGATGCGCTACGCGCGGCCGTAAAAGCAGCTGCCCAGGCTCTGGACGTCAACGTCGCCCAAGCTCAAGAGCTGGATGCACATTTGGTCATTGAGGGAATGTCAGACGGGGTACACTACACCACGATGTTATGCCATCGCCGCGGCTACTCGCAGACCATTCTTGTTTGCATGACCAAGCCCAGTACGGTTCTCGGGTTGCCTGGAAGTGCTACGTGGGAGCGGCGGGACTCTCTAACACTGGCCGCCTCTCGAATGCTAGAGAGCCTCCGATTACTCGCTGTGAGAGGTATCCACGTTAAGAAGGGATGCTTCGATGCATTCGCAACGGTTACCCGGACCTACGAAGACGTTGACGCCCTTTCCTCAACACTTGCGCGGTACATAGCGCTGCGTACTCTGCGTTTCACGTTCGATTCGTCCACCGTCGGTCGCACCTTCTTACAAGCCCTCGATCGACACGTTCTACCTGCCCTGTCTTCTATGCGCGTGGAAGCTCCTGAAGTGGTCAGCGCCGCACCTAGCCATACTGACTGGTTCGTGGAGTTGGAGGCGGCCCTGAAGCGTTGGTCGGCGGATGGTCGCCGTCTACAGCTTCTTGAGATCAGGGGCGGACTCTGCTTATGCCAGTTATGGCTCGAGCGGGTTCGCTCTTTGGTGCACGTATTGGACGTGCAGGTCGCTTGCACCAATGGCATAAGGGACGTGTGCATCTTCTGTCGTCCGGCTGAGGTTACCGAATTCTGGCCATAACGCCTATCACATCTTGTACTACTCTAGTCTAACAATTTCATGCGTCTCAACGCTATGCTTCATGTAATGTCTCATATGTTATGAACGGGTCGAGATCCCGGCGGTAGCCTGGCTACTTTTCCGCGCGTTCCAAATACGGTACGATACGTGCGGGGTACGGGATTGTCCAGCCATTACCGTGCGTGGCAAGGTATATATATCCACCACCGCAATCCGGCCAGGCACCAATCAATCATCAATCCATCAATGATACGCACCGCATGTCCTCTGACCGACGCGGCCTCTCTCCACGACCATCTTCTATCTTCGACTCTGCGACAGCGCGACGTAGAGGCCAAACGAGTCCCCATGGAACGGGTGGGCTATATTCACAACGGACGCTGGTGCCGTCTGCTCTTGCTACCGACGACCCGTAAAGGCGCACGCTACAGTGACAGGGAATCAACGCCGACAAATCGTGCGGCCCGTTTTCGTGCCTGATAACGTCTCCAACTCGATCTTCATTGTTCTGCTCTCCGTCCCGACTGGCACGATGGACTCAGGGAGGCCGGGAGGATGCGATGCACGGGTGCGCCAAGGCTTCACGAAAAGGTGCCGGGGTCGACGCTGCGGATCGACGACGCTACTAGGGTCGTGAGCGGGCTCGTCGGGCTCGAGAACGATGTCGAGGACGGTTCCACGAGTTCCGTTGGTGTTATCCAGGTCTGTCTCCGCATCCATTGTGACTGTGACCTTCATACCGACGGCTTATTCGAGAACATCAGGCAAGACCGGGATATGGACATTTTCTCCGCTCAAATCCCCGACATGTCTATTGCTATTTCGCCTCGCTCAGACGACTCGGAGCTCGTCGCATCGAACTCCGCGTAAATGTCCTCGCGTGATGAGTTTGTCTGACTCTCTGGACGCTATTCAAACGTCTCCTCGCCAGCGTCGTTTCAACCACGCTTGATGCGCTTTACATTTCGTATCTCTGCTTTACACCGCGTGTTGACCAATGCGTCCGTTTCCGCCCAGAACAGCCCCTCACGTTAATGCTTCGTTGCATTCATCACGAGCATCTCAACGTTACGTTTCTTCTGCCATGCTCCTTGCGACGCCGCTCGCTTCCTGTTCCATATGTACGACGACGATACTTGCCAAGTTCTTGCTCATCTCGCTATGCTCTCCTTCTCCACAGCAATACCTTCACTGGCTTTCGTCAAGAACTATACTCTCGTACCTAGATACCCTCTCACGGATTCCTAGCTTTCATCCAACAATATATATTTCCGTCACGTATCTATACAGTTGTCTGAACTAACAGTCGCTCAAGTACCAAAACTCAAGGTAACGCGCGGCCTGCTCGACCCACCACAGGCATGCCGGCGACGGCCGGCCCTTCCTCGTCTAACAGTCGTTTGGAACAGACTCCGACGTCGCGTACGAGCATGCGTAGACCTACACAATACGCCCAGAAGATTTCAGTAGGACGGCAGAAATAAGCAAGCAGGCGCCGCGGCGCAAATGCCGGCTGGCTCGCCGCAGTGGTCCGACGTCACATGCCGGAAATTCTCGAGTCGCTGGCGTTTACATAGCGCGAAGCCGCCCGAAGCCGTGCGGTGTGGTAGAGGTGTGTGTATGGCTAAAGCCAATTAGATGGAGTCGTATAGCGCTCTCGAAGATCTTCAGGATCAGCCCAGCGGCCGTCCTTGTCGTCGTGCGGGTACAAAGAGCGAGCCCTGCCAGCTTGAAGTTCCGAGCTCAGAGTAGCGTTGAATCGGGTAGCAGGTTAGTACATACACGCATGAGTACATACGCTTACAGCTGCGGTGTCTTTAAAGATTAGCTGGCGCTAGCAAGCAAAGCCGGTGCGGGCTGAGGCGCATCTCGGACAATGAGCGCGACTTGGGCCGAGAAGGAAGGCGTTGGCATTTCCGCTGCTGGATGACGACACGCGTACCTACTCCGAAGGGCTCGAACTAGGGCGTATCTGTGCCCGCATCCCTGTAGCGCCGTATTCCGTTCCCGTGAGTGCGTCCGGCTACCCGAGCGCAGGCGTAAGGCGCGCATGGTTAGCGTGAGGAAGCCTGGCAGGATAGAATTACTTCCTCCACCAGGCTATGATGCTGACGAACATGTCTGAAGCAGCGTTGGTTGCGAGGGTCCCCAAAAAGGCACAGTGTATTGGCCGAGCAATGTCTAGAGTGCGTAAAGTACACGGTCCTATGTTCACAGCGCTAGAGCGCCCTCTAAGTGCAGACTCCCCGCGGCGTCCTTCCGACGATGGTGTCTCTCGCATCGGACTGTGACTCAGCAAGGCGCCGCAGTGCCGAATGGCGCTCTTCATTCAGGTTGAAGCGGGTTGACTCTGCTGGCGGCGGGATCCGTATTAGACAAGACGCGCTGGTGCAGAGGAGTGGGCGCAACGAACTTTGCGTCACATTCAGCACCCTGGACGGCTGGCCCTTTCAATCTTCAAGAGCGTGTAACCATCGCTGTAGAATACGTCGCCAGCGCTGTATGAGCTCGCTTGAGTCCGTCGTTGAGTCTGGCATGACGAACTCGGCAAAGATCGTCGCGCTGACGTCCGGCACGTCGCGCTCAGCGTTCATAGCAACGTGCGGATTCTCAAGAATCTCTTCATATCCTTCGATGATCTGGCTGAAGTCGCTCATCGACAGAGGACCCATCTCTCGCAGACTCGACGCGCCCATATTGGTTGCACGCCAAGCATAGTTAGGCTCGTCTCTCGACTCTACGTTGGCAAGAAGGTAAGTCAGCCTTCTTTCACCGCATAGGAGATGGGCCATAGACTATTCCGTACCTTGTTGACAGTCGGATGGCTCGCAGTCGCCTACTGTGGCGAGGTCAGGTCCGCTACCTGCAGAGAGGGTCACATTCATGTAGTTCACAGCAGAAGGCTAGCTACACACCGGTATTCGATGATATGTGGGCGTTGGAAGTGACGTCGCCTGCATCCTGGCAAGCATCACACAAAGGCGTCTCAGATGCAGGGGCGCTCATGACGGTTGAGAACAAGTCCCTTCGCGACAACAACGTGACGGATATTGTGTATCATAGCCCTATAAAACCTTGGACCGACGGTGTAGGTGTTAAGACGAACATTAGATCCTTTTCGGGTTCGAATCGCGCGGTGGTCTTTTATTTACTGTGACATTTAACGATTACAACTTTGCTTTTGCGCATAGATTATGTACGCATATGATCATCTATACATTTTCCAATCACTATATTTGTGTATAGGGCGCTATGCCTTGCACTGACTAGCAAGGTGCGACGTACGGGCGGGCGGGCGGGCGGCGGCCGCGGCCGCAGCTGGACCAAGACTGGCGCTGTGTCACAAGTCACACTGAGATTGTTCGTGCAAGCTCCACCTACAATCTTCTTACTTCCTTTCACTCTCACCTGCGTCTAGCAAGACACAAACTTCGTTCGCGGCCATCCTCTACCTCCGAACTTGCGCTGTTGAGTATAATCTGCCTTCTGGACAGGTTCGTCCTGACTGACTCTTGGCGAAAAGTAACTAGTCAATCGGCGCTAGCTCACCGAGAAGCATCGCGTCTTAAGCTCTCTCTGGAACCTGGAGTACGTGCAATGGTCGTGGGACGAGCATATAGGATTTGCACAGGAGATGTTTCTGGGTCATTGGCCCACAAATGGCGCCGGATGCACCCCAGACCTTAGGAAAGATGCTCAGGGCTCCTTCAACGGTACGTTTGCCTTAGCAATAATGCGTGAGGTCTGCAGGAACGCTCAACGTCATGCACAGCGCAGAGAATTGACCTGAACAGTGACATAAAAAGAACGACGTGTGCGTGTGTCGGCCCTTCAGAAGTGTTTACTATCGATGCGACGTTCTGTCAGGCTCTTGTTCTTCGACATCGACGGCGGAGAACTACCTACGCCGAGTCATCAAGCGCTGTTCCGCAACTCGGAGAAGACTCACGAGTGTGTCGTGCCAGATCATTGCGGAGCTGATGACCCAGGCGCACTCGCTTTGCGGTGTGGAGTGGGGCTCAGCACTTTACTTGTGAAGCGGGTTGTGACCTACCGTTTTCCCGGCACGGAATGCATGACCTGTACCTGGGTGTTGGAGGAGTGCTTCAGCCTGGGACGACGCATTCTTCCACGCTACGCGCTTCGCTGTATGCGCATTGTCGAGTACGCCGCCTGTCTTACAAGGTGCTATCGCCAAAGCCTGACCGTCTGTAGACCCTATCTTGACCATCTATATCCCGCTCTTCGTGGCCTCGATGTGCGCGTAAACTCCCGTACACAGCTGGGAGCGTCTTCTTTGGGCTCAAGGAAGCAGAGCGCTTGGCCAAGGAAGAGCTTATACACGACGCCGCTGACTTCTGCGCCTAGCGGCGAGCTGCGGTCGAAAACAAATAGGACAGTCCATTCACGACGCAGATATTGAACAGCGAGGTGGATGAGGCTATGCTGGTGGTTGAGCAACGTGGCCACGAGATGGCCGCAGAGTTACGTCGGCTCCTCTGCAATCATTGCGATGTATACGTATAGATTCAGCGGCGTACATGATATCATGCGCCTGATGTTGACGCTTCAAACCCGCAGTCTTTGGACGCGGCCCAACGGCCACACGCGGCGTTCATCATTATAATTGTCGCAAGCGAGTCTTGCTTGCGTTGTCCAGGCAACGATGCCGCAAACATCGCGCCGTGCGATCAGATGGAAAATGATGCAACAACTTGCCCGGAGCGCCCTCGATAGAGTTGGCTTCTATCTACACGTGAAGTCCTCACGTTCATGTTCGGCGATATATAGCGTACGATCCTATGACCAGACGGCTACATTTCCACCCTGAGCTTTTTGCCCATCAGCGACGCTATGCGTACGTGTCCCCTACCTGAATTCCGAGTCAATAACGTTGACCTTGGCGGCGAAGCGTCCGAAACAGTTCAAGAGCCTTTTCCCACTTCGGCCCACCGCTATGATGTGAACGCCCTACTGTCAATGTTCGCGCATCATCCTGCTCACCCGAGTCTCGTATATGCTAGATACGGGGTGAAAAGGTTTTTCATGAAGGCCTCGACGCGGATTCGCCTATTCCGCCCTCAGAGCGCTGGCCTACGAACGCGTGAGTGCGCATGTCATGTTTCACTCGTCTCTCTCCCCTCACTCCGTGACGGCCAGCGTTCACATTCTGATGCCAAAATACGGAGACTTTCCTGCTCGTCGCGATCCCATCATGGCCAACTCCGACGTGTACGAGCGCTCGAATGATGCGATACGCCGCGCTTTGAGGAAGGTGGCCGCGATAGTGCGTAAATCAACGCCTGGCGAGTACCAGAGTATAATGGAACAACGAGCGTCTCCTCACCTCGAACCCCTCCTCGACTATTTCAGTCAGTGTGCTGAAGTGGAGATCACTCTAGGCGTACAGTTGCAGAGACAAGAGCAACTCGCGCGGGACGACCCTCAAGTCATGCGCCACTACCATTCAGGCGCAGGATACCTACAGTTGCGTTTCTTAGCGACGCAGGGCATTAGGGTTCTACTTGCGGCGGTCACGGAGAACTACGTGATATTGGAAGGCAACTGGTGCGCTGTTTTACCAGGTCGTTGATGCTTGCTGACACGAGAGCACCAGCTTCTTGCCTGGCGGCTTCTATGACGACTTCAACATTCCTGAGCGATACCCCACGTCGCCCTAAACGTCATCTGCATACGTCGTTACTGAAATGTCTGTTTCTGTTTGCATACATGCTGCTCTCTGCCCGAGGGTCTATAGCGTATCGTAAAGCTCTGTGTTGTAGTCAGAACGGATCTCAGCGAGCCTGCTATGTCAACACATGCAACGCATCGCAGTTTCCGACGATCAATTTAATCAATCTCTCCAGCGCCGCGTCCGAGCTCTCAGTGTTCATCAATCTCTATCGCACAAGAGCAGGACCAACGTAGTCATGATATCATGATGCAACGCCGCCATTAGACGCCTGAGGATATGCATAAAGTGCGAACCGATGCAAGAAGGTTATGTTATTGAGCGATCGATTAGTAGGTAGGTATAGTACGGTGGCCGAGCTGCTACACATGGGAGACCTAGGAGATAAGCTTATTCATCCAGGGAACAGTATCGTACAAAACCTCAAAAGCCCAAGTCCAGATAGGGGCAAAATCGCATGTACGCGTAAGTCCGTAACAAGCCAGCAACAAAAACAGATAGGCGATTGAAGGCATCGCGGTACGCGTTTATCTTCTGGGCTGAGGCAAGCGAAAGCCTGAAGCCGAAGGATGACCTCTCCTATAGGCGCGGACTATGGGTATGGTCAAGACCGGATAGTCCGCGCATGTAATTCTGTGTGAAGCGCGGTGGGCGTCGAGCCTCGGTTAATGGTGAGGCCGGTCCGCACAGCATCCGTCTCCACACGTCCGCCGCTGTTCGCGAGGCCGTATGCGAACTCCGCGCGAACGCCAGCTGTAAGAGAGGATCGTTGGCGACGTGAGCAGGTTGAGTAACATCAAAGCGTACCGTCGTCGTCGGTTCGACAGCGCCCAGCTGGACAAAACCCGGGCCATGAGGCTGACGAGAGGGCCACCCAGTCACCCATGCCCGCTATGCGATAAAATTGGTGAGTCGATTCGGTTGGCCTCGTGATGAAGTATTCTCTGCGTCGTCGCGCCTGTCAGGAATCTAGTAAGCTCCCGGTACAAGAGAACGACGTATCATAATCTAGCGCCCAGTAAATCATCACTCACCCATCACAACGCAACCGTTGAAGCTCCCGCTTCCGACGGCGATGGCCATGCATCAACCCACACCCTCCAGAACGCGGGGTCCGAAGGCGGAGAAGCCACGAAGGGTACTTAAGTTTCAAATCTAAGCTCGATACGATTAGAGATGTTGCATCGATCCAGTCTCACAAATACGCGGGTTGACGAACTAGTGTATTGACCCTTCCCACCAGTCCTCAGTGAGGCGACGGGGTGACGGACGGAATCAGGAAGCTGACCAGTGCCGATTGTCGCGCCCGCCCATGAGACAAAGCTGGGTGAGACATGTTGCGCGGACTGTTCGTTTGCAGAGACGGTGACGGGCAGGAGCGAGGCGCGTGAGCAAGTCCTCTAAGCAGTATCTCTGATCTCGGAGTTTGCGGTTCCGCGCCCCGCGTCGATGACGTGATTCCATTCCGCGTTCCTCAGGTGTTCCTCGTAGTCTGTCCGCCCCGTTCTGCGCGCTACAATCAATGCATCCATGGTGCCGTATGAAATTAGGAGAGGTCCAAGGAAGTGCCTGCATGGGGGCCAGATTCTGGGTGGCGTAACCGCTATGTGATACACAATGCTGTCAGTTTTTATTCATGGTCTCCGACTTCGCAGTTCGTAAATGCGGGTGCCCAATGCAATTACGGTGCTCAAGTAGAGCTCAGAGCCATCTCAAAGCGCACTAATCATATTCAAGCAAATCGTCTGCTCCGGCTTGTCTTCCGGCGCATCACACAGCACCTCCTTGTCTTCTTTCTCAACCTTCATGGAGCATGAACGTGACTCACCGAAAGTTCAACTACCGATACTGGCACCGGCACGCCCCTGGCCTACAACCATTCGGATAGGTGCGTATTTGTGTGCTTTTACGGACGTCAAATGCTAACAGATGACTCCGGTAGACGGTTGGCACGCAAGTAGCGTCGGGCGCGTCAGCCCGAAGGGTCATGTACTTAACCTGGACGTCGTTTCGCTCATCATGCTCTTCCTCCTACCAACTGCCGATGAGTCTCCAATACATGACTTGAAGAAGGGAAGGCGCTACATGGCGCCAATGTATGTAGGATGGTTGGCGCAGGCGATGTGCGTCTCGCGCGCGTGGTACAGCACCGCTCTTCACACCTGTGAGCTGTGGGGAATATTGCTCGCGTCGGCGAGGCAGCTACCAGCATGGTCGACATTTCTAAGGCGTGCGCACGCTGCGCCCCTCAGGATATCTTATTGGAATACGTTGCACTGGCCCGACCTCGACGCACTCTTGGACAAGGCGTCCGCTGTCTACGCCGGGCCATCCGGTCGCCCGCGCAATTGGACTTTGTACCTGCAAGGGCGCCGCATGCCGCACCTGGAGATTCTGTCTCTAGAGGCCGCCTATAACCTTTCCCCCGATCGACCTTTACCCTCGTGCATCTCCCCACTCTACGCCCCGCGCATCCGACACATCAGGCTATATACTCCGCTCGTTGTCAAGGCTGGCGACGTCGAAAGCGCCGCATTGTCTAACTTCACTGTTGAGCAGATGGTGGCCTTTTTGTCCGAGCTTCCCACTCTCCGCCATGTCGAGCTGAGCCAACCGTGCTTCGTGGGCGGGGTCGATTGGACGCATATGTTCACGCAGGCGGGCTCGCGCGCGTTGACTCTACCACGGGTCGGTCATGGCCGCCATTGGGAGCGCCTGAAGGTTTTGACGATCCATTGCCGGCGCGGAGAAAGTTATCCGCTAACTTCTGACGCCGTCCCTGTCTCTACACCGCAAGTCATCTCCGTAGACCTCGCAGGCCCCCTCCTTCTCGCTGCTCCTCGTGCCCGCGACCTACGCATACAAAACATCTACCTCCGCGATCTACTCCGCATGCTACACGGCATGCCAGCTCTTAAAGATCTTAACGTCGTGTCGTTGCGGGGTTGTACCATCTGGGACTTCGCCGAAAGCATGCCCTCAAACCCCGTGCCGCTATCCGAACTCCTCAAACTTACCTTGACGGTCGGCGTTCATCGTGGCTCCTTGGAGTTACTGGCTTCCATTCAAGCTGAAAAGCTCGCGGAACTCTCCTTCACATGCGATGCATCCGCCCCTCCAAACCATCAGGCCTTGCTGTGCGTAGCAGAACTGCTCGACGACGCTTTGCCTGGCGACCTTGCGGCTCTACGTAGTGCCATGGAAGACGCACGCACGGGTCTTCGGTCAGCGGGGTACGCCGGCATAGTCACCGCTCTCAACACGGAGGTTGAAGCGGCGTATCTGTGGGACGGAAGCTCGTATTTGCTAGCGCCCAACGCACTCGATGTCTATAGATCCGCCGCTGAAGTAGTGAGGGACATGGCGTTGGCCGCGCATGCGCAAGACCCCCAATTACACGTCGGCCATCAAGTTCACGACATCGTTCTGTATGCGCTTCGCGCAATGGCCCTTGATCTGAAGGCGGTGGCCTCCTCGCGACTCAAGATCACCACGTGCTTCAGGTCGATTCACTTCGACGTCGAAGTCAACAAATTCGAAGACGAGACGGTGCGCAAAATTCGCTGCGTCATGGTCGGGCCGACTTTCACTTCTCCTAACGCCGCCTTACCGCCACAACTCCCTCCGTTGGACTCCGTCGCATATGGTACCTCACGAATTCTTCACGGTCTGGCCGTGTTGCCTATTCGCGAGATTCTTGTGTACAACTATGGTCGCGGACCTTTTGAAACCTTGAAGCACTCGGATGTAGATCTTGTGGAGCTCTCGCATACGTTGGCGCAATATTCGTCTGTCAAGACTCTCGTCATCGAGATTTTCGGTTCTTCAGTACACGCTGGGCTGCTCCGCGCCATCTCCAACCCCCAAGCGTTGCCATCGCTCTCCCACCTGTCCGTAGTTCACCCGACGTCGGATCGGATAGCGTCTGACCAGCACCTCTATTCATACCACGACTGGTGGGATGAACTTGAGGCCATGTTGCGGCGCCGCTGGGGGGCTGGCCGCTCTCTTTCACTCTCGGTGACAGGTCCCTTCTGTCTAGAACGCCATTGGAGCACGCGCTGTGCATCTGTCGTCCACAGTTTATTCGTAGACGTTCTTTGTGAGCAGCGTGTCGGCATGGATTGTACACATAGATATCAAGAATAATCGATCGTCTCTTGCATCTCCTCATCCGGAATCGTGTAGCCTATATGTGGGTGGCAAAACCCTAAAGGCCGTTATAAGTTGTAGGAGGCTGAAAGTGCGCCTCTATGAGCGTAGGGGAGCACTAGCCCAGAAGCGAATCGAGCACTTCATAGACCTCTCCTTGATCATGTGAGAGTATGTTGCTCAGAGTCCCTGAGACTCAGCCTGCCTTGCTACGAGGGTAGCTCGTTGAAGTCTCAATTCGACTTGTTGCTTGCTGTTTATATATGCCGCCATCACATCATCACGCTCGCTTCAAGTACCGTTCATGCAGGTTTATCTCCAAGTCTTCCATTTGGGAGCATACGTCAAAGCCATTGCGAACGTATATAAATGTCATACGCAGTAAGACCAGACAGACCTTAAAGACCCTCGGGCACGCGCCACGACGTAGTTATCTGGAGCATTCTACGGTCGCACGTCGATGCGGCCGCGCGTAACAACCTCTTGTAAGAGAGCATACGCAGACGGCCAACCCAGTGTTCGCCACCAGCCGGAGTCGCCACGGGCGATACCCGCATCCTCTCTACAAGAAGGCGTCAGCCAAGTATGAAAATTTCGAAAGCTACGACAAATTACTCCGTTGCGTAGATCCCAGGCGCACGACCGCGTCCAACAACAGCAAACGGCCAGAGAGGAGCATCAAGCCAAGGCCCATCAGGCGGTTTAGGAACGGGCCCGGAATAGGCAGGGCGGCCTCCTCCAATCGCGCTCGGTAAATCGCGCAGCTCGCTCCGTTTGAACACCAAGTAGCCATCCGCGCTGTGAACAGATCGGTCCCATGCCCAAAGAGGCACTGGCTTAGAGCCTCTCTTATCAACATATGTCTTTGTCTGCGAGCTCTGTGGCGGACTGGCTCCTCGCGCTGATGCCGAAGGCGGTGCTTGCTGCGCCGAAGACGACAGCCCAATCTGCGACGCCGAAGTTAAGACGGCAGACTGTTTCCGTTTCTGAGCGTCCCCGCTGTACGAGCCAGAGCGTATTGCAACTGGCGGCCCTGCTCTCTGCTCCGTTGGTAACGGTATGGCTGTTGAAGCCCTCACGCTCTCGTCGTTGTGCACGGGTTCGCCAGAGACATATGTGGTGCTGACGTACGTATCAGATGAATCACTGCGTGAACGAGACAAATGCGGGAAGCTGGGTGCGTACGATGGGAGCGTATGACTGCTACTAGTTGAAGCGCTGAGCGAGGAGGACGCCCGTACTTGCGCATGCGTGACGGAGGGAGACGCGCCCGTGCCATGGGCGCCCGCGTCTGAGTCAGAGAGTGACATTGTCTCAAAGCGACCCAGCATACTTGTGCGCTCAGATAGGGTGGGCGTTGGGCGCTCATTAACGGGAGCACGCTCGATGGCGTAGCCACGAGGTTCGCTAAAGCGCAGTTGATGGGGAAGGGAGGAAGCCGCTGCGCAATCTCATAGATTAGCGGCCAGTATACCCGCTGCGAGAGCTCACTGCACCTCGAGGACCTCGTTGTGAGCGATGTGCAGGCGCAGGGAGCAGCGCATCGGTTTGCGCCGGGGGGGCAGAATTGGCTAGGGGAGCCGTCGAAGAAGCTACGAGAATATAAGCGACACATTTCATGCCCTGATCAACATACGTACGGGGCTGTGCGCTTAAGTGGAAGCTGAGAGGGCCAGAGGTACCAACGGCGGTATATTGTATGGGGTCCGCGGGCTCTACAGAGTACGCTCTGCGACCCGCACTCAGAGAACTAGACGTCACGGTCCAGAATGTAGTATCAGAGTGTATAGCGGAGGGCGCGGGAACGGCAAGCGACCGGCCGAGACGATTGGCCCCGTGCGGAAAAAATGGAGGGACGTCGGGCAGCACGTCCCAGTCACGATACACGCGGGGGCCCGAGGTAGCGTCGTTTCTTGCAAGCTCGCCGATGCGAGCGGCTCCCAACAAGTCGTTGGGCCGCTGAAATAATTCGAGGCTATCCTGTAACTGATCGGCGTCAGCGGAAACTAATGCAAGCAGGTGAGCGCATACTTACATGCGTGAAGCACCATCCGTCAGGAATCCTCGCCTGAACATGGGAATAAGCGTTCTCCCAATAGTGATACGCTTCACCCTCGCTATCAAAGGACACAGCGTACGCATCCGGGATATTGCGGGTGAAACGTTCGGCATCAAATGCCGAGAACACGCCAGTGCGAAATCCGCGCACGACTACCCAGTTGGATTCGAACGAAGACATCTGAAACGGCGTGTAGATGAACAGCAGCAAGTAAGGACTGAGACTATGCGTGAAGGACAGAGCACGGATAGAAAGCAAACGGATAGGGCCGGTAGCAAGGCACGAGCGATAGCCGATGAGTAGAGTCAAGGATAGGGATAGACGCGGGCAGCACAAGTTGAACGCGCACGTGAACCTGCGTGCGGTGTTGAAAAGTGTTGAAAGGCGTTGATTGTCCGCACATGCCTGTCTTCCCCAAACACTCAAGAACTACTCATCCAGGGCGTACTGCACTTCACTGGCCGCCCTGACTGTAGTCCATAGAAGGACGGCAGCATGAACCGGGATGCGATCGGTGGCGCGGAGTCGCTGCGATGGCTTGTGAGGGTTCAGCTCTGTATTGAGTACTTATTAGCTGACGGTCAAGTATGTGAAATAGGAGAAAAGGTCGAAGCCTTGTGGTGCGTACCTGCGCGTAAGTATCAGTGAGACCAAGCATCCGCAGCACAGCGCCCTCTTGAAACAACTGTGGGGACCAAGCATGGTACCAATAATGTAGGGGTAGAGCCGAGAACGCCGCGGGAATCGCGAGACCGGGTGTGGCATGTGAGGGCTGTGAGAGTTTAGGTTAGGGTCGATAGCACGAGACCAGTGATCAGTGACCACTAACCGAGGTAGCGCGCCGCCGGAAAAAGCCGACGTGCTTTTCTTCAGATATTGACGATCGCGTCCACATCCTGCCAGGTTAAGATCGGCTCGTTATCTCTCTACTAGTAAGGCCACAGCAACATGAGCACTCAGGCCCAGGTACTTACCCAAGATTGCGAAGCCAGCTTCGTTGATCTCATCAGTCATCCTGCATCCGGAAGCAAGCGTGAGGCGTTGGTCCAGATCATCATTCGCCCAAGCAAGCAACGGTGCAGACCTAATTTCGGCCCTGAGGCACCAGCGACGGCGGCAATAGTCGAGCTTGAACTCGCCGGAAACATCCAGACGCAATTATCTCTGTCCCCAAGAGGAGAATCAAGAGGGAGGGAAGAGAGCACGACGAGCCTCACGGGAGGCTCGACAACGGAAGTGATCCGAACAGACTACAGACCCTCTGGGCTTGAGGTTACTCGCGCGAAGCCACAGGAAGCCACTCGTCCGTTAGCCTGATCAGCAACGTCCCTGTGGTAGTTAGGTGAACGCCCGCTATCGCCGGAAATCCACCTATTCCATCACCATGATGGCAGGTACTCAGAAGGCGCTGAGAACGTTCGGAGGCTCTCGGCCTCGCTCCCCACGCGTGTCCGCTGCAGGCAGAGGCATAGCCCATCAACCGCCCCGCCCCGCCGCGTGTGAGTCGCGCCTCCCGTCTCGCGCGTCGTGCTCGCTATCCCTGACGACAACCTCCCTTCCATAAGTAGTCCCCCTACCACGTATATGCACTTATGGAGCTCTGTAATCAATGCTATCTCTACATTCGTGGTCGTGTCCAAGAAGGTGGTTATACTGTTTATGCAAGGTCAATGCACTGCAGGAATGGGGGTGTACGACTTGTTATGAGTGAGGTATGCGTATCACATTCATGGGCCTCTGTGCAAAGGCTCGCAATGAGCTCAAAGACACCGGCTCGACACTGTGACGCTTCGCATGGGTGTGAGCCTCGTGTTCAGGTTCATTGATGGCGAGATCACCGACCATCTTCCCACTCGTACCTCTTACACACAGACCGTCCCCTCCATCATCACTACTCAGAAGTACGTACATGAGCCATACGAGCATGTACATGTAAAATCTAGAGCAAGAAGCGGAACACTCTCTGCGTAGCAAGGTGGTATCTGGAGTTGACGCCGCGCTTCGAGCCACATTGTGAAGTACCTTCCGAATACGGGGCGATGCATCGTATACCCCTTTGTACTGTCATATACAGGAGTCTTCTCCCATCGCAAAGGATTCAATGCGTGTCTGAGAGTATACCTGCTGTATTCCGAAAAAGTGGACATGAACGGACGGAGTAAGGACGGCTGGCTGCTTCGGCGCAGCTAGACCCGTTACAGGTCGCAATTGCTCGTGCCGTGGCAGGGCGCATATAGGCACCTGGTCGCATGTCGCACTTTGCATCCCATACAGGGTGCTGCAGCTGTTGTCTGTTTCTAGCCTTGATATCTTATCTCAGAGCCAACGTCTCTCTATAGCTATGCGTCTATGGTAGCACAGCTTACTGCCCTACCAGTGCAAGAAGCAGGGCAAGTAAAGCCTCTCCGAGCGCGCTGACTGACAGCACCAAGCCCGAGGCTCTCAGCGATTGTGCCAATTCAGCGCTTCAGCTTCGACTACGAGCCGTGTACTCTCCAGCGAGCATGCGCCTTCGATCGTGTCCTTAACTATCGTGCCGCGCTGCACGTCTGGACGCTTCTTGAATAGACCAATATGGAGTTCCGATAGCGTGGAGCTCAGTTGTCTCGTTATTAAGAGATTAGAAACCTATACATCGAGACCAGACACAAGAATGATGGTAATACGAAGAAACCGATCGCTGCTGAGCCATACAAGAGGTGGTATATGAGTGAGGATGACGATGAATCACGTATGGGAACGGTAGGGGGACACGATCATGAGAGGAAAAGGGAAAGCAGTGCGGTGAATCACAAGTCAAGGATAGGCCACCGAAAGAGGGAGGGGTACGCAAACTTGAGAGAACCACTGGTCAGCGGGACCAACTCGGAGAGGCCGAAAAGAATCAGAAACGTAGCAGACATTGGAGCAAGACAAAAGATACGGTACGGTAGAGACGGGCGGAAGAGGAGCATGCGGATAGACCGCCACGTAATCGCGATTGGCGCGCCACCATGAACGTCTTCGAGAGGGACTGGAACAGGCGCGGGGACGCAGAGTTAAGGCGTCGGCATTCGACTAGACGTATCTGTAACGAGTCCGGGTAGCGCTCCACCGCATGTAGATAGCTGGTGTTGCCACATTGACTGCGGGGGATCTTGACCAACCGGCGCGAACACTGGTTCCAGGAAGAGCAAACCTATGCAGCTGATAGCCGTCGTAGGAAGCCCTCATAGAGCACTTATCATGACGCTAAGACAGTTTAGGCATCAGCGCGTCTCGATTAGGATGAAAGCTGCTCTAAAACCCACATACGTATAGATGAAAGGGATCGTCAGCCTGTCTATATCAGCGCAAGGTTCATCAGTGCGAGCGTAGGCTCTGGAGAAGAGCGGACGCTACGGCTTACACGCGACATGAGTGGACTAGTATGAGGAACGCGTCTTGGGAGGGGGCTATCTGGCTGCAGAGGGTGAGTGTGAGACGACACGCAAGCTAGTAAGGACTATAACACACCGTGAGATGCTGCGGCTCGGGATAGGAAAGTTGCCAAGCTCGAACACCACTGGATGCTTGCGAGCGCAAGACGATAAGCAACGTTTGAGCGTCATAGTTCACAGCCGGGCTGGGATGAATATCGTGAGCGCATGTACATCGTACCCAGTAAGCGCAAAACGTACGTGCCGGCGGCGGCGGAATGGATTTTGTCCTTCTTGCTTTAACATCAGCGACAAGGCGGTTTGTAAGGGGGAACGTCGTTAGAGAGCGGAAAGAAAGCGTCCAAAACTTCGGCAATTGACGCCTATATCCGCACTGTCCGGTAATGGGAAGTAGCCAGTCAGATGCACGCCCGTTCATCGATGAGAGCTGAATGCGTGCGAGTCGCGTGGTCTTCATGGGATACGCCCTGAGTATATAGCGTCATGCGCTGCCAAAACCAGTAAGAAAACTGGCAGGTGGGATTTGTGAGCATCCACAACGCGTACATCAAGCACAGAACGCACGATGGCAGCGTTGGGTCGCTGTACGGGGGATGTAAGCGCCGCAGCCACTTCATTTCAGTACAAGGTCAGAATGGGTAGTCGTCTAAGAGGTTCCTCATGACCGTCGACAAGAAAGTCGGTGCCAGAAAGAAGGTGGGGAAGCGAGCAGGAGTTAGCGACGAAGCCAGAACACGTGTTGTTCGGCAGAATCCGGTTGATTGTGTGCGTGCGCAAAGTTGCTCCGCACCAACATGCACTCGTCCACGTCTGGCTTGTAGATCCAGTTCGCTGTGACTGCTCGATGCGACGAAATTGGCACCGTGGATATACTTATTGTTCAAGCAGAGATAGTATTTATGGGGCGGTGGCGAAAACCGTACGTCTCTTGTGTGTCTGCAACGCGATGTGCACTAACGGTCTTCCCAAGGTCAGACCTCGTTCGATGGGGGACGTGTTCCCTAGCTATTGGTGAGTAGTGGAGTGCGCCATCATGCAAGGCGATCATGACGAACGTCGCCATATCGACGCAGATCCTCGTTGGTTATTCTTAAGCAGGTCCCATGGACGGACGTTGCCCATCTGTACTTGACGTTAGCTTACATCTTCTCAATATGCTTGAACAAACCTGGAAATAGCCATTTTTGTGATGGCCACTCAAGATACTTCTGCTTTATGAGCGCTTGTCTTCGCCGTCCTCTCTGATCTCCAGACGAACGTGCGAGCCGTCTTGGCCAGCTTCATGGAGGCTCTGGTTGGCTCCTTCTCGGTCTACGCAGCACACTTACCGCATGCAGCCTTCGAAGGACGATGTTCCCAATGGGTACTTTACGCCGAAAGGCACTATCGTCACTGTCAGCTTAATCAGGGCAGAGGGTGTTTCTGCCCCGTGTCGTGTCAACCGTCTGAACCTGTCTTCTCTCATTCATTTCTGACGCTAGGCTCGCAGCGTGAGGTACGTCGTGAAGATGCAGGGTGTCATCGATCACACTCTAGCGTGCGTACGTGTGGAAACGCGGTCTTGGAAGGTACAAGCGTTTGGACAATAAACAACGATCGCGTGGCTTTCGAGAACATGAGCGTCGCGCTACTCTGTGCGCCCCCATGGGCACATTTAAAATATTGGGGAAGCACGCAATCCAGGGCGGTCTCAGGGTACTCAATGCGCCCCGTATACTGCGTGACGCAGACTGGTGGCAAAACCGTAGTCCTCGGCTACTCTTGCGCAGCGCGTGACATGACAGCATAGACGCCCACTCGCTGTGTATGACGCTGAAAGCGGTTCGGATGGACTCCGGTGAGCATTCTGTGGACGAGACTAGTCCGCTTCCGACTGCCTGGGAGTGTAGTTGCTCAAGAGCCGCGACTCGTCTTTCGTGCGATTAGCTGGAAATGGATTCGTCTCGAATCGTGCGTAGTTGAGGGCTGTCGGCGGCACACGTGGATGGAGCGAGCGCCAATGCAAGACGAGGCTTCCATCCATAGGCCTTTGATCATAAGGGCCCCGCAAGCCCGGTGGATAGCGCACGACGCGAGCATTGGCAAGTGAGAGATCGAAGCGCAAGACTTTCCGCCGGCGTCTGCAGGTGGTCAAGCCAGAACCCGCGTCGAAACCTCTGTGGAAGGTGCGATCGAACCTTCTGCCTTGTCGACGTCGGCCACTTACCCTTGAAAAGCGACCATCTATCTCGGAAGCCGCTTCTAAATCGCATGGGCATCATTGCCATCGTCGCGTTCGCCTGAGCGAACTGCCAACGTAGTAGGGTCATTTCCGAAACGTCACGTACGGATGTGCAGCCCATCATCGCAGAGAAGACTGCAAGAGAGCTGACTGCGGTATATGAACAGCCCCGTAGACGCATTCGTAGTGATCCGTTCGCGGCTGTGTATATGTGGTATAGTCGCGGTCACGCGAGTTCCAGTGATGCGAGTGTGATAGGGTGTCTCGCTGCCATGTCTCACAAGGATTACAATCCTCTGGACAAAAATCATTATATTGATCATGTAATCTACGTATGTACACAAATTGGGTGTGGTACAGGCGGAAGGATGCGGTGACGAGTGCGTATAATAAGGTCGTACATGAGCGTAATGAGGTCTATGATAAGCAAGAAACCCGGCTGAGGACTCGTAAGCTGCGTAGGTTCGCTATGTACAAAATTGAGGCGCAAGTATTTGTGAAAACAGAAAGCATTTCAACATTTTGGGAGACAGCCGAGACGTAACTCAAGAAAGCGCTTAATGATAGCAATCACAAACCAGAAAACAGTCTTCGAATCAAGACAAAAGCGCACGACCCTCTTTCCCAGCCGTTCACCACTAGGGCCATTCCATCCCTCTCCTTTTCTCCCCCGCGTATTGCGTCTCCCACTCCCTTCTCCTTCTCACTGCCCGACGCGAAATGCCTTGCCCGTGGTCCGCTTGATGAAGCCGCCGAGTCTCTTGAAGATTCCGCGTTTGTCTGCGGTTTGCGCCTGGGCCGCTTGGCCGCCGGTGACAGCGTTCGTTTGAGCGTCCCCTCCTGCCAGCCCACCGACCGCCTGCGCCCCTCCTGCCAGCCCGTCGACCGCCTGCGCGTCTCCTCCTGCCAACCCTTCGGCCGACTGCGCGTCTCCTCCTGCAAGCCCAATGACCGCCTGTGCGTCTCCTCCTGCAGGCCCGTTGGCTACCTGTGCGCCGGCCGCTGCAACTTCGTCAGGCGGGGGTTGAGCTCCTTCAACAGCGACGTTGACGGGATCCTGGTGATCGTCTGGGTGAATCGTCAGGTGAAGACCTTCAGCAGCGAGCATCGTCCCGATCGCGTTCTCTGTGTGGAGTGTAAGCACGATCGCAGGGTCTTGCGCGAGTTCTTTACTGCTCCTGGCCGCGTAGGCCGTTTTCCCTCCTCGCATAGGCCGCGACTGGGGCGGGTTTTTGAAGACGGATTTGCGGTCGTGATGGTTTCCAGTCATGTTGAGCGCGGGTTGGTGTAGTGCGGGCGAAAGGCGCGAGCGCGGGGACCCTAGGACGCGTATACGTGCTTGTACGTATAATATGACGACGCGTGTACTCGCGTTGGCGGGGCGCGGTGAGTATATCGAATGTCCTCGAAGCGAGATAACGGTTGGCGGGAGGGTTGAGAGGGAGTGCGAAATGACAGAGGGCGCGGGATGGTGGTGGTAAGAGGAAGAGTGACGAACTCGCGCGACGCGAATTGATGAAGAAGGGCGCTTATCGTCACGCGGCGCGACGCGACGCGGTGACTATGAGGCTTGTCGCCCTTGAGGATCGTGGGGCTTGAGGACGCGTCGGCGACGTCGTTGTGCTGAGAGGGCCCCCCGAGAAACGTCTAGGTAGCGTTGCGCGAGTAACTACTCGCGTATTTGGAGTGTATATAGAACGCGTAACCTAGAACGAGTTTCCGTCAGGTGCGAATGAATGCGTGTGCGTACTACTCATACTGTAATAGGCAAACACATCGGAGGTATCTGTAGTGTCGTCAGCGGTCGGTACAGCGCAAGGGGCGTGAAGAAAAGGACGGTATATGGCACGGAAGTAAGGACGTACGTGGAGAAGAGCTCTCTGTGAACATCCAGCGTATCCTTCAGACGTGGTGGTCGAAGGTCAAGGTCTAGGAATCGATTGGGACGCGACGCGTTTGTTCCGCTGACGCGAGCGGAGCGGCAGATCGGCGTCTAAAGGTTTTAGCGCCTAAATTCACCGGCGCCTAGATCCTAGAAGCCTCAATCACATGCTGGACTCGTCGACTTACTAATTTTCCCCTCGACGCGACTTTGTATCTCCGGGAGACTTTATACGTCTACGCGACTTTATACCTCGCCGCGACTTTGTACCTTTGGGGACTTTATACCTCCGCGCGACTTTGTACCTCCGCGCGACTTTATACCTCCGCGCGACTTTGTACCTCCGCGCGACTTTATACCTCCGCGACTTTATACCTCCGCGACTTTATACGCTGCCCTGACTTTGTACTTCCGCGCGACTTTCTATGCCGCCGTGACTTTATACCTCCGCGACTTTATACGCTGCCCTGACTTTGTACTTGCGCGACTTTCTATGCCGCCGCGACTTTGTACATCCGGAAACTTTATACGCCCGCTTGACGATACACTGCCCTGACTTTGTACGTCGAGGCGACTTTGTACGTCGACACGACTTTATAGGTCGACGCGTTGTGTGTCCACGCGATTCTCTGCGTGTTGCGACATTATACCTCGGTAAGTAGGACTTTGTAACTCGCTGGCTGGTCACTCAAAGGGGTTACGCCGCCCAATGGCTGAGCATCCACAGCCGACCTGACAGTCCCCCTCTGATACAGATATAAATGTCCGTGCGCCTGTGGGCGCAAAAGTAAAAACGTGGTGGAGTTCACTGGTGTTGATATATGAATGATCCGCCGGGGCACCGGAAAATGCATCCCACGTAGAGTGCATAGATGTTGTCATGTTTCAAGTCAAGAGTACAGAGACGCTCTCACATAGATGCTCAGAGAAGACTAGTTGTCTCTCGAATGAACAGGAGAACACCATGTATGCAAGAGATGGCCTATAGTGCGGCAGTGTAATAAGAAATGCAATCCAAGTATTCTTGGCAGAAGTAAGTCCAAACAGCACTGTTCCTCAAGATCAAATTCAGTCGGCACAATCAGCTTCACACTTACCTCCGAGAGCGCTTAACGGGACCTAATGTCTCATGTGTCGCTGCCGCACCTTCAGATACAAGAATGACGGTCTTAGCATCACTTCTGCC